AATTACTTTGTTGATCGAATATCAATATCACTTGATTTGTTTATTGTAATTTTTTTTATTTAATGTTTTTTTATATGGGTGAAAAATGTGGTAATAAATCGGGTCTCGACTTAGGTTAGCCTGAGTTTGTATTAAATTGATAAATTGTATGATAAGAATATTATCGGAAGTAAGATTCAGATTACTTTGTTGATCGAATATGCAATACCACTCGTTTGAGATTAGAATCACTGCATGAATAAGGTCAATCACATCGAGCTTGAGTGATACTAAATATCTAACTATTGGATGAAAGTCCTTGACTAATTTAGGGAACAAAATTTATAATAAAATAATACTTATCTCCGAGGCATTTTGGGAAGCCAAAAGCAAAACTAGGAGAGCCAATGCTCAAATTGGACAATAACATACCAGTGAAGAGTTGTTCAACTAACATGTATTAGAGTAATGACCTAAATTTAGTTATGTCAATAGAATCTTTAAATGTCTAACTCAAAAAAATGGAAAAAAAATGAGTCGAGCCTCGATTAGAGGGAGAGGGGATTGGAGGGTAGACTATATTGCTTTATCTCTCTGTCCTTTCTGTCCCCCAGGCTGGGCTCTCGCATGTCGTTGGATCAAATCCACAGTACCAAATCTTGGCCAAGGTATTCAACTTTGAATAAGGATCTTTCTAATAGACATCCAACCAATTAATTTAGATTAGCTGTCGTGACTATCGAATATAACGTCAAATTATGAAAATTTGACCATCAAATAAAATAAATTAAAGTTATGGTTGATAATGTGTTGGATAAATTCAAATATATTGATCCGATTAATAACACATTTTCAAACACCATTAAAATATAAAATATAGGTACAAAATTGGTGCACATAAGGGTCATCTCTTTACAGACTTGATCAGTGGGGGTTGGTCTCCTCCAGCTTGCCATTAGCGGGGATGGTGATGATGGCTTAGGTGAATCACATGCAAATATTTGTCAAAAATTTTAATTATTTGCCCAACCCAATTTTTTTTTAATATAATAAAAAAACTATAACCCAAAAATAAATGAGAATAATTTTTCTTTATTTTCAAAAAAAATTAGTCATTTAATTATTTAATTTATTTTTGTACTACACAAAATGCCCATTACCAAATTTAACAAAATCTTCAGTTTTTTTTTAAACATATTCTTTACCAGAAGCCAAGGTCAAAACTTCCCGTAAGTTTCCCTCCAAATCCAATTTCTTTAACATTCCCTCCAAAATTTCACCACCCAAAAATTCAAACCACTCCAATTTGGTTCCTATATATTTTGAGGAGCGGGATCAGATCTTTGCACACATAGCTTCGGTCTCCTTCAAAATTGCGCACCGATTTCGATCCAAATTCTGTCCCTTTTTCGTCTCCAATCTGCTCCATGGAGTCATTGAGGAATTCATTTTCATTGATCTCCACCGACGGTGGCGCCGTCAGTGCAGGATCTCCACACCGCGTCGCAGGCGAAGTCCATGTGATCATCGGTCCTATGTTTGCCGGAAAAACCACTGCTCTACTCCGTCGGATCAAAGCTGAGAGCAGCAGTGGCAGGTGAAGAAAAGTCTATTCTTACGGCCTGCAAACAGATCGAAAACCTTCATTAAAATCTCAACTTGGAATTTCTTTGAACTCTCGTATCTGCTCTGCAGGAATGTGGTGATGATCAAGTCAAGCAAGGACACAAGGTACGCTATTGATTCGGTAGTAACACACGATGGGGCCAAATTTCCATGCTGGGCACTGCCAGATCTTTCGTCTTTCCGACAGAAATTTGGAGAAGATGCTTATAACAAGGTATTCCTCTCTGAAGGACATTCTTTGGCATTACTATTTGTTTTAGTTATCTAAACCCAATAATACCGGCAGCTGGATGTGATTGGTGTTGATGAAGCTCAATTTTTCGATGATCTCTATGATTTTTGCTGCGATGTTGCTGATAAAGATAGCAAAATCATTATCGTTGCTGGCTTAGATGGAGATTACCTCAGGTCCCGCTCAGATCTCTCTCTGCCTTTCTCTGTATATATGACAATTCTGCATTCACATAATTTCTTGCATCTGAGCTGTTGGGTATGCGAAATCATGGATCTTTCCAATACTAAAGTGGTTATTCTTCCATGGTTTTGGCAGGAGGAGATTTGGTTCAGTGCTTGATGTAGTACCTCTGGCTGACACAGTAACTAAGTTGACAGCTAGATGTGAACTTTGTGGTAAAAGAGCCTTCTTTACCTTGAGAAAGACAGAGGAGACAAGGACCGAGCTTATCGCTGGGGCTGATGTCTATATGCCGGTGTGCCGCCACCACTATGCCAATGGACAAGAAGTCATACAATCTTCCAAGAATATTCTGGGATCTCGTGCTCTTAGAACAGGCTCTAATCTAGAGGCACTTCCTTCACTTATCTAAAATCTGCAACTTATCTCAATTGTCTAGACAAAATGCTTTGCTTTCGCCTGTGTATTTCCATATGTTTCCATCAAACAGCTGTCGCTAGCTACATGCTATTAGCTGGAAGATGCACCAAGTTATCTGGTTTGTAACCTCATTCGTCCAATATTATATACTAACATATTTCTCTTCTGGAAGCTGCACCAAGTTCGTTCATAGTCCTTGTCAAAATAGATTATTTCCAGGAATGGCTATAAGGGAAACTAAAACTCCAACCCAAGTTGATAATAGAAGATTTCATTGCATAGATACCAAGTCATTGAACTAGAAATCCAGTGATAAGAAATCAATTACAGAAATGGCCGAAACTGAAATGCAGTAGGTAAAAGAGAACCATATACTTGTAGTTTTCATGTTGGTCAGTCTGTAGTAGCACAGGCAGAGGAAACACTGTTAAATGCTGGCCAATTGGAAAGCATGCTTCCCCTTTATTAAGACTGCTCAGAATCTTCATCCCCAACTTCGTCAAAGAAGGGATCCTTGAGAAGTTCGGAAGCGGAAGGTCTTGCTCTTGGTTGTGCAATGCACTTCTCAATGAAAGCCCTGACTTCATCATTAGTCACTTTGTCTAATGCTTGGGGTTTTATTCCAGTTGTCACCTTCCTGAATATTTTCGCAACACTATCACATTCACTGTATGGTATCTCCATTGTAACCATCTCGAGCAAACACATCGCAAAGGAGTATATATCCACCATCTCTGTGTAGTCTTCTTCATACAGCTCTGGTGCCATATACTCTGGTGTGCCTATGATCGAATGTGCAGCATGACTCCTGCCAACTATAGCTGCAAGACCTAGATCGCCTATTTTAACCTGTACAAAGGAGACGATGTAATAATGCTTCAACATCATAGATGCACACAAGTTAATGAGAGGATGGACAATTGGATACTTGTGGTTTAGTCAAATATTGGGAATCATACAAATTGACAAACAAGGTTGAGATCCAATAGTTTGATACTTGGATCCAGAAATAATGTTCTAGAAGAATTTCTCTAACCGCACATAATCTTGTGAATAAGAGAAAGAAAGAATGGAGCAACTCATTTCCCCTATCTGCAGTTTTTCTATGCTGTGATCACAGCCTCCGTCTACCAACCTATGCTTAAAATTCAGATTCAGCACTCCATGACCTCAACATTCTCTTGCATCACCTATGACATATTTACGTTACTTATTCTTAACTTTTATGAGCGAATACTATCCCGTAGACCAATACAAGTGTTTCCAATATATTTTATTTTCACTCGCATGCATTTTAGGAAAATTCCTACAAAGACACCAATATAGAATTGCTCCAAGCAAATTATGCTCAATCATGAAGTTTCTATGATTGAGTTACCGTTAAAGAAGGTGTAACTTATTAGTATAGGAGCAACTTTCAATTTTTTTAAGTCTTTCTTAACTATTTTATTTTTAAAATTGCTCTCATTTGAATATGGTCTTCGTTCATTTATATACCATCTCCTTCGCTTAGGTACCACACTATATTACTATGAGATGTGAACTAATTGATCATAACCTCAGTTTTATTTCACCTTTTAATCAATACAAAGCCAAGAGACAACCATGTCTAGCATATGAACTGTTATTCAAGCAGCCCAGTCAATTTTTAAAAAGATTACGGTAAGAAAGTCACAAAATCATCAGCATTTCTTATAATCTCCACGGAACGAAATTTGACATTGCACGTAAAATAATGATCAAGAATATAAAAACTGAAAAAAGAAAAGTCATCTGCAAATTTCACCTTAGGTCAGAAAGAGAGAAAACTAGCACTATCAAGAGTGAAGCAAATACCTGCCCAATGTTACCATTGACAAATATGTTACTGCAGTTGAGGTCCCTGTGAATAATGCAAGGTTCGTGAGTATGAAGATAATCCAATCCCTCGAGTACCTGTTTTGACCACTTCTTCAAGGCCTTAATTGACACATGTCGATGTTTCTTACGATATTCCCTCAGATTTCCTGATGTGCACACCTCGGTAATGAAATTCAACGTCTTATGCTCATCATCATTCCAAACACTGTAACAAACAATTATATATTTGTTGTTTAACGTGCTCAGCAGCTGAACCTCAGACCTCAAGCGGTTAATGAACATTGGATCCCCACTAAAATTTCTCAATCGAACCTGATTCCAAGCAACCTCAATTCCTTCCTCCTGATCAAATGCCCTATAAACTTTCTTCACTGCTCCAGACCCAAGAAGATCATTGTATCGTCCAAACCTTCCAGTTGGATCGACCTCAACAAAAGGCTCTGCATCTCGATCAAATGGAATTGAATTTTCATCTGGCATCTGTAATGAGTTTCAAAATATTAGTAAATTGAGCAAATAGTATAGAACATTACAGTTGAAGTCCACTGGACTTGGCATAGATCAAGATCCAAGAGGCAGTTTAAAAAAAAAACCGATCCAAGATGAATGTGAAGCCAACCAGATAAATTTAGAACTGGCGGCTGAATCTCAAAAGGAATGCGCAGAGTATACTCCTCACATACAATAACCTTGATTCTCGGTACAGCTAAACCCCAGCTTCAATTTAATCCAATAATATCAAATAAATATCTTAAGAACATTAACAAAACAGAAGTACAGAAGCTTACCATTGCCATTGTCTACATTGACTACTTTTCCGGCGATTCTTCCTTTTGTTGTTAATTTAAAATTACAACAAAAACAATACTTAAAATGATAACCATAGATTTCAGCAACAAAAATACTCGTTAATTACTACGAACAAATCAAGCGCACTTCAAGAGACAAAAGTAACGACAATCCTAAAGTCCAACGAGCTAGAAACCAGAAACTTCTCAGGGAAACCATTTCAAGAAGTTTGAAAAGGTTGATTAGAGGTTTTTCGGTTCATGCAACAAAAACCATAGATTCAGATAAAGCGGAAGAAAATCAAAGATCAACTCGACTACAGAAAATGAAAATTCTCAAACACAAAATCTACGCCAATAATTAACATGAAAAATACAGCATTAACATCAGCAACTCTACACTTGAAAGAGAAACAAAACAAGAAAAAGAGAGACAATACCTTGGTGGTGATGCCGGACAGAAAATCTCCGAAGAAACGGAGCGAGAAAAAAAGAACTCTCTCTCTCTCTCTGTTCCGTTCAGTTGGTTTTTCTTGCGTCGGGTCGAGGCGGCAGGACATTTCTGGTTTTATACGTAAGCGCGTAATACAGATCAAAATGCCAAAAACGACGTCGTTTGGACCTCTTGTCGTTTCCACTCCCAATTTCCTTCCATATATAATGGCTATTATTTTCTTAATGTGTGAGACTTTCATATGGTTTTACGTTTCAAACTTGTCAATTCTTATCTTAAAATACTAATTAAAATGATTGAAAATTTGATTTATTCGACATTTTTCTAAATATATATTTATTTCGTTTTAATGATAAAATCATATTTTCAAAATAGTAACAGAGACACAACACATTCTACTACGAGCCCGATTGTTTGGTTCAGAACTTGAAATCTATGTAAGACTTCGTGGCTGCTTCGTTCCGCCAAATTTCAAACTTAAAAAAAAAAAAAATAGAAATGATCAAATTAAAAGGATTCACATGTAGAGAGGAAGTTGATTGCATGGATTGCTCGTGGCCATGAATTTGAGACACTGAATCTTTGGCCATGTTAGTCATGGGAAAGGACGTGTCGGCCTCAGGCAGCCTGCCCTTTGGGGCATGCCCTTTACCTCTTTTGCCTTCATTGCTTGCCTTATGAACTTCAACTTCACATGTTTGCATTTGCAGTTGATTGTTTGCATTTGCATTTGCAGTTGATTGATCGAATGATGACATAAACATAGCTCAACTAATTAAGAGATTACTTATTCGCTGGATCGTGATATTAAATATTTGGAACGAGTAATGGTTGTGTTTGGATATGCATAATAAGCAGGGAAAGTTCTTCATTTTGTGGCTACATTTTCACTTCCATGCACAGGAAGCGACCAAATCCCTATCCATCCAGCCTAGATACAGAGCCCCTTCTCTCTCTTCAATCCTATACCTGTTAGAATAGTTATCTAATAACGTTTTTATGGTAGCATTAACCAAAGAGCTTAATGGGTAAGCTGTAAATCCTGCCATTGCGAATCGGAGTCTCCATTTTCCGAGTAGCTCGTGTCGTTCCACTCTTTCGGCCCCTTCGCATGCTAGTATGTTCACAACTTCCCTTGCTAGACAATGCTGCTCGATGTTAATTCGCTCCTTGTGTTGTCTTGGAAGAGTAACGTCGATTGATTCGAACATGGCGTTGTAGTAATCCAGCGTTTCGATGAACCGGGGATAGAATGCAGCGGTGTTCGTGTTGGATTCTTGTTCGACGACTGTCACTACCTTTGGGGACAGACCCTTAACCAGCCTCAATAGTCTATCTCGGTGATTTTCGGTGCTTACGCTCTCGTCTGGCATATGGTGTAGCATGAATGCAAAATTCACTGCTAAAGCCTCCCCTCGTCGAATGCTTAAGTTTTTTTGCTGAACGTCGCTGCCAGAAATGGCAGCGGAGTGAAACTCAAATGGCACATTACACAATTTTGCTAACTTGGAAAGCCTCCTACCAACAATGTCTAGCCCGCCTCCACGAGCATAAGCCGATGCAGGATCATCTATACCGGTTATACGAATGTGAGGCGGTCGACCAGGCTTGCTTGCAAAAGCTTGAATCAAAGTGATCCATTGAGTACCCTGAGAAATTTGGAAATCAATGATGTGAACTCTATCTTCATCTTTCATAGCTTCTGCAATGGCACCATTGGCTGACATGTATCCGAATTTGAAGTACGGGCAAACCTCGTAAAGAATGTGCATATACGAGAGAAGCTCGGCTCGTGCTGGTTCCTTGCATCTCAAAGATTTATAGATGCAACTACCCGAGGAGGCTAACCGTGCAACCAGCCCCTCAAGCATATACGCTCCCAATCGCTGCATCGGTTCACCGCAAACCGAAACCATCTTACGCAATTCATCCATCAGCCATTGCGCCATCAACGCATCGTTATCTGATACAGCTTTAGCACAAGCTATTAGGATCTTTTTTAAGCTTCCTTTGGTGATAACATCCATCACTTGCCCCCAAGTTCCCATCTCTGGATTCTCAGTTCCCTCCTGGAAGATACTATCAAAACTATCAATAACATCAGAATCAGGGCCAAGCATTACACTTTCCAGTTCCCTTAATTTGTGTCTAAAATCACTAAGATCATCTGTTATGCTGGATCCGCTTACAGGGGAGCCATATGCATAGTCAATGGAATTATGCTGATCAGAGGGATTCGAACAAGAATCCTGTTGTGATACCGTACTCCCATTGGATGAGCAAGTGACAGTCGACGTCGAGTTGTAAGCTGCGTAGCCTTGGCTACCAGAGGACGACTCCAGAGTGCAGTACTGATCACCGATGTCCTCAACATTGAGCTGAGCTCTTTGGTTGCCAGCACTAGAACATAATTGGGAGAAAAAGTAGGTATCCGCTCCTTGAATTGGCTGATAACATAGCCTCTTCGACATATGTGAATCTCTATGAAGCTGAGAAGCTTGCATTTCAGAAATTGTATATTGAATGGGACTGATTTTATCCTTGCTCTAACGAAACCTTTATCCAAATCTACTGCACAAATGAACCCAGATCAGCCTGGTTGTAATCCATAGGAAACTTCCATGTTTACAGGTTTAAATCCTCAATCAAAAAAATGAAGAACATAACAGCATTATAGAACATATTGACTCAAAACAATCATTCCCTTATATATCTCTACTATGTGTACCCAAAGAAGCAGTGAAGCCTCGATTAAGGGGAGGCTGTTCGAGGGCTCTATAGGCCTCGAGGGAGGCTCTATAATATACTTAGTTCGAGGGGAGGATTGTCCGGAGGAGGAGTCTCATATTGACTAATTTAGGCAATGATCATAGTTTCCTTTTCGGTAAACACAAAGCAAAAACATGAGAGTTTATGCTCAAAGTGGACAATATCGTACCATTGTGGAGAGTCGTGATTCCTAATAAATAATACCACAGCTCAAACAAACTCAAAGCATCTAATTCAAGCTGCCATAGAGTTTCTCAGTTTAACATAAGGATGAACTGAGACCAGAGTTACCAAAACGTCAAATTCTAACAAGTTGAGGTTAAATTTCTACTTTCTTAGGAAAAGCAAATTGAAAAGCATAGGGGAATATTTTAAATCAGTTCGGTGACTCATGATTATATCTTTCCACGTATTCGTCTCTATCCCCCACCAGATCATCATTCACCTTCATAAAAATAAATAAATAAGAACAGGAGGAGCTAATAACTATTCACACATGATCCTGTTCTATAAGATCTCCACCATTAATCCGACCCAGCTACAATAATCCCTGTAAAATCCAAACCCAGTTCGAAAAACAAGGAACTCCAAACAAACAAGCAGTAGAAACAATTGTAGCAATTCCATCCCTTACATTCCAGCGAAAAATGCTACAGTGAAAACAGAGCAAAAAAACAGAGTGGTAGCCGATTTAGGCCTCGAATTCCCATGATCGAGGGAACCCATTTGCATAAATAGTGAATCAGAGACGAAAACATGAATACCCAGAACAAAGGAAGAACAGATTCCACAAACCAAGAACAGAGAAAGCATCGAAGACATGCAATTACCAGAATATAAACTAAGTGATTAAAATTTCAGTGGTTCATAATGAACCAAATTGTTCATCCCACCTTACTCGAAGAATCTTCGGGCTAGAGTTCACTTCAAACCAGTCATTTAGAGAGAGAGAAGAAAGACGGGGGAGTGATATGAGGAGTACCTGGGAAACTATTTAACAAAGTGGATGAACAAAAGTCCTTTAATTATTGCGAAACTGCAATCGCCAGTTTTGCCACCTAGTTTGTGAAATGACTGATTTACCCCCCAAAAATTATTCCCCAAAGATAACGTGTCTGTGATTTAATTTAAAGATTTCATAATTACATAAAGATTCGACTCTCATTAATGGAAAATTAAAAAAAAAAAGAAATAATTAATAATAATGGTTGGAATTAAATTTAGAAATTAAAAAAAGCAAAAAAAAAAACTCGAGCAGTCAAATTGGTCAAAGAAAATTCAATAATGCAGTAGTATTTTTTTTAATAATTTAATATATATATATATATGGGAATAATTTGACTTTCAATGCAAGACCATCCCATGCCCCTACGGCATGGAGTGATTATTTTGAATTTACAATTTCCTCCCTGATTTTATTAATTATTGTTTCAAAAAATGTGGCCATGGGTTTGGAAAAAAGATTATTCATGGACCATACTCTTAATTATTTGCTTGGAAAAAGCCACACCATAGGGTAAGGTCAATTTTGGAAATAAAGATGTGTGTGTGACAGAGATATTTTTTATATAAATAAAAATACACAGCATATAGTATATTATTTAATAGGACAGGGCGAGAAATGGCAATGTGGTAAATAAGGGGAAATTGAAGGTTTAATAAATAAGGGGGAGGGGGTAGTGGGGCCTACAGAGAATGGCTGGGAGAGTGGCATACACGGAAGAGGAGAGAAGAAGCTTAGTTTAAAAGGCAAAGGATGACGTGGGAAGTAGTGCCTTTTACTTCAATTTAACTTAAACACCCACCTCTATTATACTTTCTAATATTAAATTAAAAAAGAAAATTAAATAAACTCTAATATTTCGTCTAAAAATTACTCTAGTAATACCTTTAAATGTTTTTTAAAAATTAAAAATATCTTTAAACTTTTAAAAAATATTCAAAAATACAAGAGTTTAATTAATACACTTAAATATATTTTAAAACTTCAAAAAAAAAAAATCTTTAAATTTTTTAAAATAAAAAAGTTTTAAAAATAGTTTACCATTTCCAATGTGATTAAAAAAATATTCACAAGAAACAACTTAAAAATTTGGAGATAATGTATGATATGTGGATAAACTGTTTCGATCAAAGATAAGAATTTTTTTTAAGTGGAAAAATATAAAGGTTAGTTTTAAAATT